ATGTCAGTAACAGATCCTAAACTCTATCATATACATTTTCTCTTTCTTTCTCTAATAAGGCAAGTAATTAATTAAAAATTTTAGAAGACTTTGTAGCTGTCATTGTTATTGTTCTAAGTTACATGTTGCCCCCAAAAGCTGTTTCTATCATAATCACAGCCAGAAAAACTAAATGTGGTGTGAAAGCCAGAGTATATTTTTCATAAAATATTACATTAAATGGTAATAACATAAAAATTAAAACACCATATTCCACCTGGGTGTTAAATTTCATTTGTATCTTTCTTCACAGGGAATTTCTTTTATAGTAGCAATTATTATGATTTACTAAATTTAGCCTTAGTGAATAAATAATACACATTAATTCTTACCTATCTTGATACTCCATAACTAGAATACCCTAAATATTGTACTTAAGCCCACAGCCAGGACTTTTTCCCTCTCATCACAAACACCTAAATTGGAAAGTTCATGTCTAAAGGAAACTATCCCCAGAGCTTTCAAAATTAATTCCTATTTACAACGTTGAGAGAATTATTTCCAATATGGAGGAGGAAAAGTTGATTTAAAGTAATTGATGTGACAAAACAGAAACATTGTTTCTAGAATGTTCTGCATGTTAATCCAGGTAATCAACCTGAACTAAGATGTTATTCACAGCTCCTATGAGCTGAGCGCTCATTCACTGCCTGTACACCAAGAACAGTCAAATTTTATTGCCAGCATCTTCTGCCCCAGATAGAGGCATTCATCTTTTTCTTTAAATATATATTTTTTTGTTATCTTGTCAAGGTGCCCGTGTACCTCTGAACTTAATGAATATATGAAGACTTCCCATGACCATAAAACTATTTTCTCTTTCATATGACTGCTCACATCATTAAGTTTACCTTGTATTTTTTAGCCAGTCCAGAGCTGAGGCACTCGCCTTAGGATGCTGAGTTTGTAGAATATCAGGTACCAGCCACAGTCATGTCTGTCCATATGCAGCCATCACGCATATGATGATTTGTTCCCACAGTGCTCCATGAACCATCTTTTCCACGCTGTTTCATTGTCTTTGGCAGAGAAGCTTGTAAAACATTAAGTGGGTGGACACCCATTTACATCAAAGACGATTCCATTTTGAGGATAAAATATCCCTAAACATCACGTTAGTGCTGAATATCAGCAAACCTTTTCGATGGCAGAAAACTAGCTTTTCCCTTTTTTTCTCATTTCCTCAGTTCTCAATTTACTCCTATCCATGAAGATTCCACATTTTAATTCTGCTGCATTCTGTCTCTTGGCATAATCCCATTTATTGCCATTTATATCATTCCTACTCTAGCAACTCTCCCCCATACACATTCCATACTTAGAATTTCCCCTACTGTTTCTTAGCAAAACTCCCTTGTCACAGGTTGCTTGTTCTCTGGGCCATATTCCATGCTACTCTAGAAGAATTATCACATGCTTATATGATAATATGCACAAATAATACAACTTATGACCTACCCCAGCTGCAAAGTGACAAATGTACCCTTAGCATTATAACTGCCCAAAGGATGAGAATCACCAATGCTGGGAACTTTTAGGTAAACTTCAGGAATATTAAGTTTACCTGAAAAAACAGTGACTGTGCCTTTCAGTGTTCTTCAGGTAGCTTGAGTGGTGGCTGATGCATTAGATGAAGTAACATATAACACTGCACCACGAGCTGATGGTCTGGTTGTCACATAAACAAGTAATCAACACAGTCAGTCAGTTTTCTGCATGGTATTTGAACAAGTTAGAGAGAATCTAGTAGTGGTAGCACCCTTCTTCAGCAAAGGTTTCTGCCTGGAAACAGAATTGAAAGAAGCAGGTGGAAAAAGGTCACATTGGATCAGCTATAATGATGGACAACATGGAAGAGTCCCAATGGGTACCATTGTGTCCACACTGGGCGTTACCTGTGTCGCAGCCACACAGACCTGACTTAGGCTGCCCTTGCAAGTACCAAGTACAGAACACCATTATTTTTTTTATGAAAGCCCTGTGGATTGTTTTTGGTGTGCATATTAACAAAGAAAAGAAAGACAGCCAAGTTATTTCTTCCAAACAGCAAGAAAGACATTTTTCCCTTGAAAATGTGCAAGATACATCTCTACTGGAAACACATACATGCACATGCACACACACACACACACACATACACACACACACACACACAAATAAACAAACAAAAAAATCCTTTCATCCAAAATCTGTGGTTTGCTTTCTTTTATTCCTTCATGTACATGAATATGTGAAAACACACAACACTCAGACACGCAGCCTGATCAAGTGATAATCTCTTATAATGTGCTTCTATTTAAAGCAACAAACAGATGGAGGTTTATGAGCAAGGCTGGTGAAAGTAAAAGCAAATGATTGCAATAGTTGTACTTTTAATAGGATTCCCCACAATCCAAGACATTATTCTCTAAGGAACAAATTGTTCTTTAAAATTATATTACTTAGGAAAAAGACAGTCGCCCTGACATTGCTGAGGCCACAGAGAGCTGCAGGACAGCCGTGAATTGCCGAGGTCTCTCCACTCAGGTCAGTGTCCTGGGAGGGGGAAGACAGGGATGTCAGGCACCACAATCCCCAAAGAACAAGCTCAGTGGAATGGGATAAAAGGAAGAAAGACCAAAGGGTAGAGAAAGTACAAAACATGTCTGGGCCCTGATTGAATTTATTACTTTCTTCTTCTCAACTTCGAAAAACAAGGTTTGGGAAATTCCTACAGATTTAAGATAAACATGCAACATGGCTTCTACCTCTGCCACTTCAGACCAAAATCTATCTCTAATCTAGCAAATTTTGGTTAACATGCCAGTGGAACTGTAAGCAACCCAGCACTAATTCATTATCATTATCCCTCCTTAAGAGAAACAAAATTCACTATAATTCCATCAGTAAGATGAATATACCTTCGTGATGGCCTTTAGGTAATTTATAATTGAAGCTAATCTTAATTAAAGTCATTGCACCATTTTGGAAGGAAATAAACAACCCAAAGAGAGGGAAACAGTGTGGTCAATAACTCACTCCAAAAATATGTGTTGCCTCCAAAGCTCACATTGAGGGAGACACTCCTGCGCATAATACAAATGGTTCTGACATTAAAAAAAGTAAACAAGTAAGAAAAATAAAGATGGAAAAATTCTGTGGTCAGTTCACAAGTGCTTTTTTATTGTTTGAGGCAGGGTTAAAGCATTTTATAAAGACAAGGATATATGTGCTGCTGGATTGGATATGACATCGGACTCGTCTAGCGGCTCTTGCACAGAACTCTGGCTGCCCACATTATGCCAAGAAGAAAACATTTGTTGATGCTTCTAAACAACAACCCGGGGAGGAACCGAATGCAGATCATTTAAAGCATTATTCCAGTGCCGTTTTATAGATCAAACGAGAAAAAGTACTCCAGTTATGAATGGATTTGAGAGATAGAGGCAGACATTCAGCTTTCTCCAATTATTCGTGGTTTTGAGGATTTTAATCTTAACTTGTCTCAAAAACTGATTAACAAAGGTTGCATAATCTGTAAGTGGGACTCCCGCCAGCCTCAATACATGTCATTCAAGGCTCGTGTTGACTCAGCAGGCCAGAAGCTATATAAATGGGCTACAGCTGAGAAAGTAGGTTCTTTTTGGGCAGCTTAGGGATTCCGAGTCCCCAGAGATTTACAATAGCAGTTCCCTAGTCCCTCAGTATCTATAACTTGGAGGGATTCTCTTTCAGGTTTTGTTGTCATCAAACTGACCTAATACTGCGAGGACAATGAGCACTGGGTCTAAAGAAAAGCAGAAAAATAAACACTATCATGTCAAGAACAATCAGCCTTTTGAATATCTTCTAGAGTGATTTGACTGGAGCACCAGTGAGTTAGGTAAGCTTATAGCCACCCAACTAGCAATGATCATACTTATGTTCCTTGTGACATTAGTGCACGGCCAAGGATATAGGAAGACATAGCACCGTCTCAGAACCTATGGATTTGATTTCCAAGAGGTCATGAGAAAGATACGAAATCCAAAAGGTTTGTGCCTTCTATAAAAACTCTGTGGTCTGGTGGGTGTTCTCTATAGTCTTAATTTTGTTTTTTAACCTCCTGACCCATCACTCTATCGTTAATCACCTCACTACCTTTAAATAGCACCCAAAGGAGCAAGCCAGCCCCATGCACAAGTATGGCCACAGGCATTGCTGGAAGTGTATACGGTTAAAAAAAAAAAAATAAGAGTCCCTGGTGCAACCAAACCCTCGTACTGAGAAAGATGCCTTACTGCCTCACACTGCATCATATTCAGGGCAAGAAGTGGATTTAGAGATGAATGAAACAAGATAAAAGTCCATGCTTTTGTAGTCAGGGATTTAGGGAAAGCTATTTACTCCAATAAGGGGATTGTAGCAACATGAAGCCAGCCATAAATGTATGACCCGGCTGGGAAGTTATACCTTGTTCTCTGAAAAGCTGCAAACCAAAATGCACCACCTGTCATAAAAATGATGCTAAAGGAAGGTGGAAGGGAAGAGACAGGAGCTATGTATATGCAGAATGCAGAGGTTAAGATTTAAAGGGAGTGAGGGAGAGTGGCTTTCCCCTAAACTGTGATTATTTCACTAAAAATAAGCCTGCAGCACGATGATATCAGAGAGATTTCAACTCAATAGGCGAGCTGAAGACAGTCTTTCTCACTTGAATGCAGCCACTGAACATGCCCAGGGAGGCCCCAGGTGTGACCTCTGCTCCCCTGTGAGCAGTGGCAGGACCAGGCAATCTATCATGGTGTTCATGCTGTCAGCCCCGTTGCTTCACAACCGCTGTCTGTCACCCTGGTGGATGAGACCTGCTTAAGGGCAATCATGTCAATCTCTATGTGACCACTCAGTCTAAGGCAGAAGGATGATCTTGACAGGCCTGGCAAAGTCAGCAGAAGGTACCAAAAGCTAAAGTCACAGCCTTTCTCAAAGAGAGGCAATGTGGGCTATTGTGTTTTCTTTAGCGTTTATTTTTGATTTCCCTTTTGATTTTATTTTCATGAAATGGGTGAAGCTATACAGAACTTGGCTTCAGAGCTGGTCATCTCGGATAAACCTGTTGCCTTCTGAGTTTTTCCCATAGTAAACGTAGCGACACTTCCCCAGGACACCTGCAAATAAAAAGACACACTTCATTACAGGTAGCACAATTAACATGGCAGGGAAACATAGGTGCTGAAAACCAGACATGCAACGCCCAGATCCAATGGGCAGCAGAAACCGGATCAAGCCCCAAGCGGATCAAACCAAGAACTCTACCTTCTTGTCCTCACAGAAAAGAAGGTTCTGTCAACCTCAGAGTTAACATGGAGATAAAATGTCGCTACAAGTTCCTAGGAATATTGTTTTCTGCACGACTTCTCCTCCACACGTTAGGTACTTTTCTAATTTGGCCAATTATTCCCCAAAATATAGCCTCTCCTCATCCCAGTTTCCCTTAGCAGAGTTTTGAAGAATGAAAAATGAAGAGTTTAAAGATGAACCCAGTCCAAGCAAAAGACTTAGAACAATCTTCCCAGAACGTGACTATTTTTGAAGTCCTTTATCATGAATCAACATTGTTAACTTCCAGAGATAATATTCCAAATCCTGGCAGGCATGAGGCATCAGGCATCGAGCACACATGGGATGATCAGGGAAGAGGTGGTATTGACAAAATACCACATGGACAGGAACAAGAACCTCCGACATTAAACAGCTTCTTACAGGCATCTTGAACTCTCTATTTCAGGTCAGAATGCATTTGATTTCCATTTTCAGCTTTACTTTAAGTAATTCTTTGACTCCATATAAGGCTCTTCTCTAATTCAAGGAGACTGTAGGAGACTTAACAATGAAAAATGCCCCTAGAATAGGGTCAAACTTTTTAATCAACTCATTATTTATTCAAAACACCCATAAGAAATCACCTGCCATAGTTATTGTGAAAGCTCTGCAGGATTATCAAGGCAAAATCTGTTTTGTTTTTGCCACCTGCATTATTTTTTTCCATTTTTAGAAAAACCTATTTTAAATTCAGTTGCACAGAGTTGTCTTAGCACTAATCAAACTTGAGTCTCTGAACTACACGCAACGAGAAAAAAGCAAAGAAAGGAAATATCCATAAAACATTCATTCAGGAGCCACAAATCTGCCTGTGAAAATAGCTACCTAGGGGCATGATGATTTTTTTTTTCCATCAGTGTGATAGTGTGAAACCAACAAGCCCATTTGTTTTGGTTAATTTGGGATAAATTAGCACTTGAAATAAACCAGGTTCTTCACATCAGAAGTTCTAAGTAATAAATATTTTTGCAACTGTAAAGGAGACGTTTCTACACCACAAAGCTTTAAACCTTGTTCTTATATAAGCATCAGAAGGACTTTTAGAAACTTTGAAGGACAGAGCAGATGCTCCTGGTGTAGATGGTTTGGATCAAAGCTAGAAATTGCTTGGGTCAAAGAGTCTCTCAGAGTTGGCAATGGAGAGAGCGTGACAATGTTCCATGGCCTCAAAGCTGGCCTTGGGCTCACTCTCATTAGTTTTATTTCCTGCCATGTTCTCATGAACAAGTTTACTGTGGATCATTCCTCCCTCTTGGTCACGCTTTCTCCTTGGCCCCCGATCCCCAGTTTCTGGTTTTCAGTATTTGTCTGGTGCCTGGAAACTTTGAGCTTGGATGGAACCTCACTGAGACCCTTCTCGGGACCTAAATTATTCTTTTAGTTGTTGGCACTGAGCTGTTTCCTTTATCGTTCTGAATTATGTAGCAACCAGCATTGTGCTAATGTTGTCACCCATGCCAGGATCCCACTGGTCTGTGGGCTTGGCTGGTCAGGCTGTGCTCCAGGAATAGCATCCACTACAGGCCTGGGTGGGAGTGCCTCAGTTCTCTGCCAGGCATCCAAAGAGGGCTTCCCTAAACATAACTGATTCAAATAAACCCTGAAGGATCTGGAAGGATGGGGCCGAAGGATGCTACTTTCTTTCTACAGCACTAGGACAACATGAATTTTAATAAAAAAGGAATGGATAGGGCTGTCAGATGTCATAAAGAATACAATCTTTCTCTTGAGCAAAAGGATGAAAGGCAGACACACACACACACACGCACACACACACAGACACACACACACACACCACTCACCATGAGTGCCCCTTCTCCAGTAAAATCTCCAGTAAACTTTTCAGTACATTCAGGGATTCAACTGCTTTTTTTCTGCCCTCTCTCCATGGTAAACTTCAACTCCAGATTTCACCTAGATGCAACTTGGGCAGCAGGTGCTGCCCTGGAAACAGGCTGGATGCTCCTGGAACGTGGGCTGTAACGTGTTCTGTGCCACATTCCCGGGCCTTCTTTCTGGCTGGCACTGATAAAAATCTTTTTTAAGGCCTACCCTGTTGCTTTGGGCCTGGAAGCAAGAATGTTTATAGACATCCTTGTGAGAGAAGGCTGTTTGATGAATGCAGGAGACTGTGGCTAGGTGTCAGCGCTTGGAAGATGAGGCGAGGACATGAGGTATTAATATTGTCAATGATCTCTTGACGGGAAAACAGATACCACATTCACTGTCAGATTTAAAGAGACATCAAGTGCACTAATGATAAAAGGGCAGACTTCAAACAAAGGGGCTGTGTGGTGAAGAGCGGAGCTAGTCTCTGTGCTGGCAACAGCCTGATCTGAAAAGACACCGTCAGGGCTGCAGACAGGCCCAGGGTTGTGTGTGGTGACAGAAAACAGAGTTGCTGACAAAGATACCAGCGCCATATTATGCCAAGGATATTCTAACGCTGTCTGCCCCTCTAACGAAAGCTGACATCACTCCCCATCACTTGGGGTCTTCTCTGCCTGCCCCTGCAGAACATCTCTCTCAAGACATCATTACAAAACTCGCTGCAGCTGTGAAGGTCCTGGCAGTCCTGTTCTGTCGGAGCAGTGGGGTCAAGGGGCCTAAGGATAACCTCAGTCAATCTAAATTTGGACTCTGTAGGAGGAGTTCGCCCATCCCCACCGATATCTCGGCTACTTGAGGTGATGAGAAGGCCAGTGTGTGAGGAGCTGTCACTTTGAATAAACTCCTGGAAAGGATGGCACTCAGTCTGTGGGCTGGCTGCTCCAGGAAGGCCTGGAGACGGCCTGGCAGTTGAAAATGAGATCCAGCTGCCGGTGCTTGCCCGGGGAGAAAGGTGCTCCGGTTAGCCATGGTAAGAACGGGCTGAAATCATCACACTCAAACCATCTCCAGCGGCTGAAATTCGGTGAGCATAGCCTCTGTGAGTCTCCTCCCAGAGCTCAGAGTCGGGATGTGATTACCCTCAATAAGTGACTTTTGTGTTCAAAAATAAATAAATAAAATTAACCAGGAAAAGCAAATACACACAAAAACAGCACAGTCCCATGTGTGGCCACAGGCCTTTATTTATCATGAAGGTTGTTTGTAAGATATGAGGCTCTGCTCATAAATTAAGTGAGGTGGCATTGTGTTTCTCCCTCGCCCTCCCCGTGGCCCTCCTTCTCCAGTCATGGCAACTGCCATAAACTGTGAAAATTACAGAGCCAACAGTTTGCTTGCAAAGAACATTTTGATGGGGAGGCATTCTGAGGCTGGAATTTGGGAACCCGCTGGTTTGTGACTCAGTAGGCAATGGTTTCCCTGCACATCTGCAATGGATTCATTTGCCTGTATCTCCTCAAACTGCAACGTCTTGGGACTGGAGGGAGAACAACACATTTAATGGCATATGCAGTGTTTTTAATTAAAAGGTCTGGCTTTGGCCATAGTAAGTGAAGGAGGCTTGCCCTGCGTCAGGCTGACATGCAACTGTCTGTGTGGGATTTCTTTTCGAAGGACCCTGAAAAATGACAGTGCATCATGCCCTGGGGAATTCTCTCCTGCCAAATGAGACTCCTAATTTTTCTTAAGTAGCCAGCTTTCCCATCACCATAAGCTGTTAAAGCTATAATTATGAAAAAAAAAAATGTATCAGGAAGAATCTGTTTTAAAGAGGTTCTTTATCTTTTCCATGTTTTCCCCCTCTGGAATGGATGTCCTAATTTTGCAGGTTAAATTATAACCTTAGGGCTGTCTAAGGGAGTGGGAATCAGCCTCTTGGATGTAAGCCTGGGATGGCAGGGTCAGTACCAGAGATTTCGCTGCGGGAGGCTTTGAGAGTCCAGTCCAGGGGAGAGAATTCTTATGCACCCATGCATCTAGCCTCCTGGACTCTCTGATTCCTGGACAGCCTCACACTTCCAGCTGCAGTTTGATATTCTATTTAGTAAGCGGAGGTGGAGGAAGACCTGCATTGAGATCCAGCTCTGCTCTAACAGTCATGTGACCAGGTACATGTCCCTTTCTCTCACTGGGCTGGTTTCCCTATTTGTAAAACAAGGGCAACAGGCCAGATAATCTCAGAGATTCATTTTTGTTCTGAAGTGATTTGGCATTTTCCAATGTTTTCCTTATAAAGATGAGAATATCAGGTCCAATACTGCCTTTAGGCAGGAGACAAATTCAACAGGTCAGTCAATAAAAAAATTGATTTAGATTAAGTCAGCCCTTGAAATCCATCCAGCCTGTATCTCCAGAGTATAACCTGGATAGAACGGAGCCTCTGGAAGACCAAAAATCCCCGAGGAAAGGGTTTTCATTAACCTTCCTGCAACCTGTATTTCATACTCACAGCTAGAAGTGCTGACCACTAACTAGGCTGTGTTCCACTGGCTTTGGTGTCAACTAGGCTTTGGCCTGAGTGTCATAACTGTATTCAACAGAACTAAAGCCTAGCCATCAAAGCAAGTGGTCTGTCATTAACATTTTTGTGGTTTAAAAAAAGAATCTGCATGTAAAAATACAAAAATCAATTTGGTATTGGAGCGCAGGTTAGATGGCCACATTTACATTGGTAAAATAGAATATTAATTATCACCATTGTTAGTTTTGGCAGTCATCACTTTAGGGATCATTATTTTAAATGCTATTTCACATGCGTTTATAAATGTAGCTATGGAATGGCAAACATATCTCAATCCCATTGTGATACTAGGAGTTTATAATCTGTACTAGGATGGAACTCCTGTTCTGTAATCTGTATGAGAAAGGAAGAAACTACAACCCATGGCCTCTCTGA